CATGGCATCTTAGCTCACAGCAACCTCAAACTCTTGGGATCAAGCCATCCTCTTGCCTCAGCCTCCCAAGTAGCTGGGACTACAGGCACCTGCCATAACACCTAGGTTATTTTTAGAGATGGAGACTCACTCTGGCTCAGGCTGGTCTCGAACTTGTGAGCTCAGGCAATCCACCCACCTCAGCGCCCAAGTGCTGGGATTATAGGCATGAGCCACCGCACCTGGCCCCCTTTGTCTGAATTTTTGTCCCATATAACCTTTTTTTTTGAGACAGAGTCTCACTATGTCGCCCTCAGTAGAGTGCTGTGGCATCACAGCTCACAGCAACCTCAAACTGTTGGACCTAAGCGATTCTCTTGCCTCAGCCTCCCAAGTAGCTAAGACTACAGGCGCCCGCCACAATGCCCACAACACCCAGCTATTTGTTGTTGTTGCAGTTGTTATTGTTGTTTAGCTGACCCCGGGACTGGGTTCAAACCCACCAGCCTCGGTTTATGTAGCTGGGACTGTAACCACTGGGTTGTGCCCAGGAGTTCCACAAAGACCACACTGCCAAACAAGTCAAATTTACAGCAGAGTCCTTTTATTGAAGAGCTGGCCGGTGACTACCTCAGTGTCCCAATATGGGGTTTCTGAGAGCAGCCCCGAGTGCTTAAAGAGTCAGGTTTTTAAGGCTTAGTCTGCATCCTGGTTGACAGGCAGGCTGTCCAGGTGCATTTGGGTGGGGTAGCTAGAAAGTATTGCACAGAAGCAGAATTTTGTGGTTAGTTTGCTATATGTCAGTACATCTTTGTTTTAGTATTTCCCATACATCTTAGTTCCAGTACTTTTCCTCCATACATCTTTGTCTCAGTATTCTCTCCACCTGGTATTGTTTAAAGGTCAGTCTGGGGATAGTCAGTTCGTTTCCCTGGCCCAGGAGTTAGTCAAGCAAGAAGTCAGTGAGTACTTTCCCATCTATCTTGGGAGTGAACCAGACTTACTCCATTTTGATGAGGGCTTGCAGCCCAGGAATTTGTCAGGAGTTAACTGGTATTTTTCTACTTTAGCCTAGGCCTAACAACTGCAACGGGCACCAAGCCATATATAACCACTTTTTTAAAAACTATTTAACAGGCTCGACACCTGTGGCTCAAGCGGATAAGGTGCCAGCCACATACACCTGAGCTGGTAGGTTCGAATCCAGGCCAGGCCCTCCAAACACAATGATGACAGCTGCAACAACAACAACAAAAGAATAGCTGGGCATTGTGGCAGGCGCCTATAATCCCAGCTATGGGAGGCAGAGGCAGGAGAACTGCTTGAGCCCAGGAGTTGGAGGTTGCTGTGAGCTGTGATGCCAGAGCACTCTACCCAGGGTGACAGTCTGAGGCTCGGCCCCTATAGCTCAGCAGCTAGGGTGCAAGCCACGTACAACAGAGCTGGTGGGTTCCAACCCAGCCCGGGTCTGTCAAACAACAATGACAACTACAACCAAAAAATAGCCAGGCGTTGTGGTGGGCACCTTAGTCCCAGCTATTTGGGAGGCTGAGTCAAGAGAATCGCTTAAGCCCAAGAATCTGAGGTTGCTGTGAGCTGTGACGTGGCACTCTACCCAGGGTGACAGCTTGAGACTCTGTCTCAAAAAAAAAAAAAAAAATTGAACATGTCACAAGCAATGACAGAAAAGGTACCAGAAAAAAAGTCCCACAAAGGAGATATATGGGGGACCAGGCTTGGAGAAACAGAAGGGATTCAAGAAAAAAGAGGTAACACTTCCAGGCAGTGCCTGTGGCTCAAAGGAGTAGGGTGCTGGCCCCATATACCAGAGGTAACAGGTTCAAACTCAGCCCCAGCCAAAAACTGCAAAAAAAAAGAGGTAACACTTCCTCTTCTGTTGCCAGGGCCCCAGGGTCACACCAGTCCCCCTTAAGGAGCCTAGATACTTGATGTGCACAGCCCACAAGTGCTGGCTGGATGGGAGGAGATGATCTTCTTGCTAGGATGGTTGCAAATACAGGGTGACCAGAAAGTTTGTGTACAATTTTAATTTGCACACTATTTAAAATTGTACATGAACTTCATGGCCACCCCATATTTATTTTAACTTTTTTTTTTTTTTGAGACAGAGCTTCCTCAAGCTGTGGCCCTGGGTAGAGTGCTGTGGCATCACAGCTCACAGCAACCTCCAACTCCTGGGCTCAAGTGAGTCTTCTGCATCTGCCTCACAAGTAGATGGGCCTAGCGCACTATTTAAAATTGTACATGAACTTCATGGCCACCCCATATTTATTTTAACTTTTTTTTTTTTTTTTTTTTGAGACAGAGCCTCAAGCTGTCACTCTGGGTAGAATGCTGTGGCATCACAGCACACAGCAACCTCCAACTCCTGGGCTCAAGTGAGTCTTCTGCATCAGCCTTCCAAGTAGCTGGGACCATAGGTGCCCGCCACAACGCCCGGCTATTTTTTGGTTGCAGCTGTCATTGTTTGGTGCCCTGGGCTGGATTCAAACCCGCCACCTCAGGTGTATGTGGCTGGCACCTTAGCCACTTGAGCCACAGGCACCGAGCCCCTATTTTTAAACTTATTTTATTGACTAGTTTCTCTGTTTTAATCAAGCATGTAATCTATGGTCTAGTTAGCAAAAGGGGATTGAGGAAGACACACAGAGTTAATATGTGAGATAGATGGAAGGATCTCTGTGAGATCCTCTCCCCCTCCTCCCCACTGGCCCAGAGATGACCTTCTGACTGTGGGATTCCGAGGGATTCCACAGTATAACCCTCTTGCCCCATCCCTCAACACTCCCTGTGGAGATGTGTGTTCACCTAGGTGGGGGGTACGTGCTGAGTTTATTTTAAAGTGCAAGCTAAAGGGCAGTTTTATTTCTGGTCCTTGGGTTGGGAGGCCTCTCAGCGGTAATTCTCCCCTGCCAGTGCGGCAGTAAGGGCAAACACATCCTCCGTTGTAACTTAGTGGCTGTAGGTTGGGAAGGAGCATGACCTCTAACCCAAGGATGATGAACCGGAAACTCAGCCCTGCCCAGGCTGGTAAGACAGCGCCTGGCACAGCACAGGGGCAGGCAAAATGTTGACAGAAGGAAAGGTAAGGTTCCCACCTTGACCACACCGCTCAAGTGGGGCTGGAGTCTTCCCTTCAGGTCTTCTGCTCACCCAAGCCCCCCATCACAAGGCCCTCCTTTTTGCCAACCCCATCCAGTGTATCTTGGACCCGGATGATTGAGACCGCATGGGAAGGGGTACAAGGCTCTAAGTAGCTCCTGCCTTCCTACATGGCCCTCCTTTCGCCTGCCCGGAGGCCACCTCTTCCCAGGGAAGAGGGGATGCAAAGGCGGCTTACAGCTCACTCGCTTTCGCTTTCGGGGAGTCTTCTGGCCTTGCTCCAGGAAAATGGCTTGGATGGGAGGTGATTATTTAGCCTCCCTGGACATCAAAGAAATACAATTAAACAATAGGGAGCCATTGGCACCCAATTAGCCAAACCATCAATGTGCTCGATAATTCCAGGACTCAGTTCTTTGGTCGCTGACAACTTTCTCACCTCCCTGCACAGACAGACACCCATGCCTAGTCCCCACTGTTAGAACCTCTTCTAAGGCTGCTGGAGAAAACTGGGCACTTTGGGGTAACATCTAGCCTATGGGCCCCCGGAAAAACCGGTCAGTTCCGCTTCAGGCCCCCAATGCCAGCCAACCTCATGCTCTGGCGGCTCCTCGGCGCTGCCAATCTTTTTTTTTTTTTTTGAGACAGAGCCTCAAGCTGTCACCCTGGGTAGAGTGCAATGGCATCACAGCTCACAGCAACCTCCAACTCCTGGGCTCAAGTGAGTCTCCTGCCTCAGCCTCCCAAGTAGCTGGGACTACAGGCACCCACCACAGCGGGGGGGGGGGGGCCTTTTTTTTGGTTGGTGTTGTCTTTGTTCTTGGGCAGGCCTGGGCTGGATTCAAACCCACCAGCTCAGGTGTATGTGGCTTGGCGTCTTAGCCGGTTGAGCCACAGGTGCTGAGCCAGCGCTGCCAATCTTGTGGGCAGAGAGGCTGCGGGTCTCAAGCGCCTGGGAACTAACGAATTCTGGCCTCGCCACTGGCGAAACCACGTGACCTTGAAGGAGTTCATGAACTTCTCCACCCCTTACTGTCCCGTCTGTAAAATGGAATATCTAATGCACACGGCACAGCGCAGCTGTGTGGAGCAAACTTCCGGACGCCGGGTGGAGCCTCTCTCGGTCCCTGCTGGTAATCTTGCGAGATGATAAACCGCAGGGGGTCTTTCTGAGGTCACCCTAAGGGCCTGTCATCCTTTGGGAATGTGTAGCTCCAAACCTTGTCGCCAGAGGCAGAATTCAAGAAACCAGAATCCTTGCGGGAAGTGGTGTGAGGGGAAGGCTCTGCAGGGGCGCGGGACAAACCCCAATCCCGCCGCCCCACCCAATGCCTGGAAATCCAGCCTCGGAGCCTCTTGCCCCGGGAGCCCCGCCCTTGATCCCGCCCTCCTCTAACCCGCGCCCCCATTGGTGGCGTCCGGCGGCGCGGCCGCTGTTATTTTTCGAATATATAAGGAGGTGGCGGTGGCAGCTGCAACTAGAGTCTTTCCAGACCGGTGCTTGCTCCCGGCGTCCCTTCACCCCTCCCCACCCTCCCCGCATCCCTCTCCCTGGCTCTCGACCCCGCTACTCTTCCTTCCTCCCTCCCTCCCTCTTCCCCATCCCCGGCCCCCTCCCTTCCTCGTCTCAGCCAGCTGTGCCCGGCGTCTGTTGGCCGCCCTGCGCCTGGCCCTCCAGCAGTGATGGAGGTACCCCAGCCAGAGCCCTCCCCGGGTTTGGCTCTCAGTCCGGCTGGCGTGCGCGGTGGAGCCCAACGTCCGGGCCACCTCCCGGGCCTCTTGCTGGGATCTCATGGTCCCCTGGGGTCCCCGAAGCGCGCGGCCGCTTCCTCGCCGGTCACCACCCTCACCCAGACCATGCATGATCTCGCTGGGCTCGGCAGGTAAGACACCCTAAGAGAGGGTAGACGTGGAGTGAGAGCCCGAGACTAGGGTCCTGGGATTCCTGGGGAACTGTGCGTGGGAGCAGAATCCAAGAGGTGGAGTGGTGAGGCATTCGGTGCAGAGCAGAGAGATGTCCTTGGCCCTCCATCAGGGGACTTGGGCTTTGGGACCAGAGTTGTGCTGCTCACATCGTCCAGGTGACCTCCTCTGAGTCTACATGGGCCTCTGGGAGCTCTCTTTCCCACTCTCCTACCTCATTGTGCCTTCCCCAAGCTTCCTCTCTAACTAATCTCTGTCCAAAGAACCATCATTTCGCCCCAGGCTGCGGACCCCAACCCTGGAGGGAGAACTTTGGAGTGGCAGAGAGGCTGCATTCTCACAGCCCCATGCCCCTGCTCCCTCCACCGAGTCTGCCCTCAGGGTTAAGAGATTAAAGCTGATCGTGTGTCCTCTGTGTCCTAAGCCTAATGGGTCTGAGCTAGGTTGTCCCAGCATTAATAGAGACCCAGGTCTTGGCCCTTCCTTTCTTCCTTCAGGAAGGCATGTGGGTAGGTGGGGGTCTGAAGGTTTAGGGAAAAGCTCTCTATGCTACTATGCTAACCCACCAACCCCCAGCGCAGCCTCCTTGCCCTTGCCCTGGGCTCACCTTCCACTACACCTGGAAGGACCTTTCCTAAACCAACCTGACAAGAGGGTCTGTCCCTGGTGTGGTGTTTCTCAGTTATTCCCTCAGTGAGGGAATTCCCTGGGGCAGTGCAGAGGCTAGACTGGACCAACCAGCCTGAGAGCATCACATTTACTTTCTCCTTTCCCGGGTTCCTTCCATTGCCAGTGAGACTCCAAAGAATCAGAGAGGGAGCTTGCTTTTCCACAGCCGGCTGGCATGTCTATCTTTGTCACGACGGGCATCTGAATCCTCCCTGTCGTCTGAATCCTCTGAATCTTCTGATGCAGGTGAAGCCCAAGGGTGCCTGGGGAGGTCCACCCAGTACCAGGAGGGTTTGGGATGGCTGTCTGGGCCCCTCCTAAATGTTATGATCAAATTGACACCCTTCCCACAACCTGGTGGCTCTCACCTCTTCTGGGCCTTGCTACCCACAATTCAGACTGGCTGAGTGGGCGTGAGGGTGGGGCCCTCTGCAGGAGATAAGATCTTACCTATTTAAAACTACACCAAAAGCTGGGCACCTATTGCTCAGCGGCTAGGGCACCAGCCATATACATTTCTGTGAGCTGTGATGCCATAGTACTCTACTGAAGGTGACAAAGTGATACTGTCTCAAAAAAATAAATAAATAAATAAAAACACACCAAAGTTCCTAAAATACAGCCCCACTTGGGAAGCCATTAGGGCTGAAAGTTGGTCTTTAAAGCATTATCTTAGTCTATAACTTTTTCCTTAAATCATTGTCTTTTTTTTTTTTTTTTGAGACGGAATCTCGCTATGTCACCCTCAGTAGAGTGCTGTGCGTCATAGCTCATAGCAACCTGAAACTCTTGGGCTTAAGTGATTCTCTTACCTTAGCCTTCCAAGTAGTTTGGACTACAGGCACCTGCCACAATGCCTGGCTATTTTTTTTTTATTGTTGTCATTGTTTAGGTGGCCCAGGCCAGGTTCGAACTTGTCTGCCTTGGTGTATGTGGCCAGTGCCCTAACCACTGAGATACAGGCACTGAGCCTTTTGTTTCGTTTTTCATGTGTCAAAATCCAAAATAGAAACACCAGGGCGGCACCTGTGGCTCAGTGAGTAGGGTGCCGGCCCCATATACTGAGGGTGGCGGGTTCAAACCTGGCCCCAGCCAAACTGCAACAAAAAAATAGCCGGGCACCTGTAGTCTTAGCTACTCAGGAGGCTGAGGCAAGAGAATTGCCTAAGTCCAAGAGCTGGAGGTTGCTGTGAGCTGTGATGCTACAGCACTCTACCAAGGGCGACAAAACAATACTCTGACTCTTAAAAAAAAAAAAAAAGCTATCCATGTAACAAAATAGAAACACCTCCCCTCCCTTCTTGGGATATAGTGGGGGGAAAGTATACAGAACATGCCACTACTTTCAAACCAAGGTGCTCTGTTCCCCTAGGTCTCTGCATGGATTCCCCCAGCCCCATGGACCCCCAGATGGCAGAGCAGACGTGAGTAGAAAAAGGGAAGTCCCTTCTACCAAGGAGTCAGCACTTGCCCTTGGAAATCCTAGTTCTAGCATAAAGTCTCTGTTGAGACCTGAGAAAGTAGACAGACCCCTCAGGAGTCTCATGTCAGAGGACTTATTGACCTTCCCTGGCCTTGAGATTCTGCTCCCTACCCCAGAGAAAGGTTTGTTCTCATGGGCGCCAACTAAGGCCCAGAGGTAGTGGGGACAGTAGCCACTGAGTGCAGCAGAGACTTGACTCCAGCTAGCCCTTGTCTTGCAGAAACACAGGCCCAGTGTATGTGCTGTTTTTCTTTTTTTCCTTTACCCATTTTTTTCTGTGAAGTGTCACAATTCAAAAATAGGGTCCAAGAAATTCAAAACTTTAACTCACTTTAGGCCAAACAAAACCCAGTTGCATGCCAACTGATTTGGCCCATCAGCAACTTCTGGTGTCAATAACACCTGGCCCTCTGGTCAGCCCCTGGATTAGGCCTTTTATGAGAGGGAATGGAAAGAGAGCTAGTGGACTCTGCTCTGGGCAGATGTCTCCTCCTTGGTTATGGGTGTGGGTAGTGCCTTCCAGAGCACAGCTGTTCCCATCCAGCTGTTATGGTCCAAGCAGGGGGAGCAGCTGCTGGCTATCAGTAGGGACAGCTGGACGTGCCCAGCTCTTGCTAGGGGACTATGGCTTTGGGTTCAGGGCACTGACTGTCTTGCCTCCCACTGCCTTTGATCAGCCTGGGCTGGGCTGCAGAGTTTGTTCACAAACAGGAAATGGGGAGAGAACTGGGTGGGGGTGGGAGGGACTGCAGATTGGTTTTTGGTGGCAACACTGAGCTGTTCCTTGCCTCACACCCAAGACCCGATGCAGACTGGAAACCAAGCCAATGAAATCGGTCATCCCTGATGCCAAGCTGGCTGGTCACAACACACAGCCCCATCCCCCTCGGAGGGAGGCATCCAATTCATCCCCTTGACACTTTAGCCCTGAGGGTCCCCCCACCTTTGCACCTGCTTCAATGAGGGTTATTCAGAGTTTCTCAGAAAGAAGCCATCTTTATGTGTGTGTGCAGAGATGCACAAAAGCTCTTCATGGCAGGTGGTCTCTGGTAACATAGCTAGGGGTAAGTGGGCCTATATACAATAGCTTATATAGCTCAAAAGTAGCCTCAAAAGGAACATCTGTTGGAATTCCTTGCCTGCTGGCCTCTTATAAGGCAGGAGGAGGGGGTGCGACAGGAGCTTAGTCCTAGAAAATTCCATAGGAGGGAGGAGAGGATGTGACCCTGCACATTTGTCACTAGGGGGTCTGCTATGACAGACTAGGGCTGATCCAGGGGAGCCCTAAAGGCAGGCCAGCTCTTCACAGGGGAGGGAAGCTTCACCTTGGTGTCTAGGCCCTGGAGACACTCACATTGCTGGGTGCTACAGCCTGTCATCATGGATGGATGGATGCCTTCCCTGGTGGCCACATGGCCCTGTTGAGGTGATTTGCATACAGGTGGAAGGCCTGCTGTGCAGGCTGGCGAGACCGTTGCCTTGGTGATGCTTCAGCGACCTCTGCAACCTAGCCCAGCTGTCTCCATCACTGCCATTCTCTGGGCCCTCTTCTATTCAGGGCAACCTTTAAAATCCCAGACTGCCTGTCATCATCCCCCTCCCTAATACCTGGACCCCACTGAGAGTGGGCCTTCTTCCTCCCACCCTCTCCTTCTACTGGCATGAGCCCTGGCCCTTATCTTGGCCCTCATCCCTGGCCCCTGAACCTGGTAGACTGGGAACTTGGTGCTGGGTGGTGATGGGTGCAGGGGAGGAATGGGTTGCATGGACTCTTCTCTGTCCTAGGTTTGAACAGGCCATTGAGGCAGCCAGCCGAGTCATTAGAAAGTAAGTCTTCCCAGGCCTCTTCCACCCACCACAGGCTTTCCCCTAGCAGATATAGGGCTCTGGTGGAAGGGCATCTTGCATGCTCCCTGTCCCTGCCCTGACTGTCCCAACCCTCACTGTTCTTGTTTCCTTCTGCAGTGAGCAGTTTGCCATCCGACGCTTCCAATCCATGCCAGTGAGTGTCCTCTGAGGCCCAACAGGAGGCTCAGACATCCTGAGAGCACCTCCCAGAGGGTGGACTTGATGTAGCTGGGTATCCCCGGTTCTGTCAAGAGATGGGGTAGTTGGAGGAGGGGTAGAGAGGTGGGGCCTGGGCTGGTGCCAGAGGAATGTAGCCTTGAGCGCCTGCTGCCCTGCCTGGCTCTTTAGGGAAGGCTGCTGGGCCACAGCCCTGTGCTGCGGAATATCACCAATTCCCAACCGAAGGAAGGCCAGAGGACGAGCACAGGCGGAGGCAGAGCTACCAATGCCTCTGGGGAAGACAAGGAGAATGTGCGCATCCAGAGGCCGGCACAGGAGCACTCAGGGAGAGAAGGGGCGTGCTGGGTTGGTTCTCTGGCACTTAATGACCCTCCTGTCCCATCTTACCCACAGGATGGGTTTGTCTTCAAGATGCCATGGAAGCCCACCCACCCCAACTCTGCCTGTTCTCTGGCAGAGTGGGCCAGCCGCAGGGAAGCTTTTGCCCAGAGGCCAAACTCAGCCCCCGACTTGATGGTACAACAGGAGGGCTGGCCCCCGGTAGGGGATTTGGGAGGAGGCAGTGAAGGAAGAGAAGGATGCTCCAGAGCCCCCAGAAGGATGGGAGTGTCCCCATCTTTGAGTCTGTGCCTCTTCATCACCCGAACAGTGTCTCACCCCTGAGCAGAAGATGGAAGTAGAAGAGCTGAGACCCCTGGCTGGATGCCACCTCTCCCCAACCCCTGCTGAGGGGGCTGCTGAGGAAGATGATGGATTTGTAGACATCCTGGAGTGTGACCTGAAGGTAAACAGCCTTTGCCCCACCAAGTCTCCACCTGGCTCTCCTGTGATCCCCTAAGGGAAGAGAGACCCTGCCATGAGACTATGACCTCATTCTGGGGTCAGAAGAGGAATTCAAGGTAGCTGAGGCATGGCCTGACCTCTGATCAATTGAGGAAGAGTAGATGGCTGATGCTGCAGTGCAGGAGAGGATGGGCAAGATGGCAAGCTTCTTGGGGTTCACTGCCCCTGTAGCAAGTGGGTCCCTTCAGCTCCCTTGGATCTGAGGGACTGCCCTATGTGGAGGAGCTGGCAGGGCCAGAGAAGGCTGCCAGCCTGGTTTATTTTGGGAGAATAGGGAAGGCTGCACTGGAGGATTGGTGGATGGAAGTGTTTGGCCTGTGCCTGTGGGTGTGACCATGTCCTTGCTGATTGGGCCTCAGGACAATGATGCAGTCCCTCCAGGCATGGAGAGCCTCATTAGTGCCCCATTGGTCAAGACCTTGGAAAAAGAAGAGGAGCAGGTAGGCCTCTGGGGTGACTCCCCCAAGGAATTTGGAGGGATGGCATCCTACTGTCCAGGTGGGACTTGAGGGATGGGTGGGTGGGTGCTGGTCATTCTGACCCTGACCTGTTGTTCCTGCCAGGACCTCATCATATACAGCAAGTGCCAGCGGCTATTCCGCTCTCCGTCCATGCCCTGCAGCGTGATCCGGCCCATCCTCAAGAGGCTGGAGCGGCCCCAAGACCGGGATGTACCTATTCAAAACAAGCGGAGGAAGAGTGTGAACCCTCCAGAGGAGCAGCAGGAGCTGGAGGAGCCTGTGGGTGACTTCCTCCCAGTGCAGGGCTGCTGCCCACCTCGGGCATGCACCTGGGCTGCCACACCCTTGGTTGGGTTTGGGCAGTGGGTAGAGTGTGGCCTGGGCATGGCTGGGAGGAAGGGCTACCAGCCAGACAAGGCACTGAGGGGCAGCCTTACCGCTGACCCCAACTTCCATCTGCCTCACTTTCCAGAAAGCCCGTGTCCTCCGCTCAAAGTCTTTGTGTCATGATGAGATCGAGAGCATCCTGGACAGTGACCACCGGGAGCTGATTGGAGATTACTCCAAGGTGCCAGCGGGGGACTCCAGAAGGCCTCTAAGTTGCTGTGGCCCTGGATGAGAGCTATGTCAACTCCTCCCTCTCTCCCCGGAGGCCCTCTTTTCTTTGTCCGTTTGTATCTTTTCATCCTTTGTTCTCACAGAGACTCTTCCCTCAGGCTCTCCTTGGCCTCCAAGACTACCTCAAGTCTGTCCAGGCCTCTGTGGTATCTCAACCTTGGAAAACATTTCCAAGCTAAGATCTGGCGCAGAAACTCCTCATGCCTCGTGCTAAGACTTGGCAGAATGTAGGGCGCAGAATTAGAGAGTTCATTTCTTCCATGCCCCTCCTCACTTCCCTGTAGAAGGCTGTTCCTGGGTGTTAGACCCCTAGAGGCTGTCTGGGTTGCTATGGGAACCAGAGCTGAATTTGAAGGTCAAAGCAGGTATGGCCTCTGAGTTTGGGAATAAAACATCATTCTTTCCAGACTCCTAATCTTACCAATTTCAGTTTCTCTTCTCTCTCATCCCTTCCCTCAGGCTTTCCTCCTACAGACTGTGGATGGAAAACACCAAGACCTCAAGTACATCTCACCAGAAACAGTAAGCATGCTTGAGCCGCTTTCTAGACACGTTAGGGGCCACTGTTCATCTTTTCACCTTCCCTGGGGAGGCTGTGTGGACTAGGCCAGAAAAAGGACTAAGGCCAGCCCCCAGCTACCAGCTAACCCCTCCTCCACACCTATAGATGGTGGCCCTGTTGATGGGCAAATTTAGCAACATCGTAGAGAAGTTTGTGATTGTGGACTGCAGATACCCCTATGAATACGAAGGTGGACACATCAAGGTAAGGCGGGGTGACGGGCGAGGCCCTGAAGGCCCCACCCTGCAGGACCTTTCTCTGCTGAGGGGGTGAATAGGTAGAGGGCAGGTATACCTTCTTCTGGGGTAGGATCCTGCCCAGCAAGAAATGAGGTCTCCTACGTGAAAGATGGGGAACGCAAAGGGAGTGTCTGCCTCCCAGACCCCGGGCTGTGGTCTGAGCCCCAGCTCCTCTGACAGAATGCTGTGAACTTGCCCCTGGAGCGCGATGCTGAGGCCTTCCTGCTGCAGAGCCCCATCGTGCCCTGCAGCCTGGACAAGCGAGTCATCGTCATTTTCCACTGTGAATTCTCATCTGAGCGTGGGCCCCGCATGTGAGTCCCAGCTCTGCCCAGCCAGCTCATGTCTGCTCTGGTGTCTCTGGCCACTGGGATGGCCAAAGGTGCTAGGCCAGCCCCGCCCTGGCCTGGGCCTCTTGCTGTATCTAAGGGGCCCTGTCCTTCTCAATGATGCTGACACTTCTACTGTTTGATGATGTTACATCCCCATTGGAACCCCATTCCCTTGGTGTCCATAATACTGCAGACCTCAGCTGGGCTTCTCCTAAACCTTTTCTGTCTCTGTTCATGCTCTGCCTGGCTATCTGTACCTGCTGGCCTCCTCTCTTGGGTTGCCACTGGTCCATTTGCCTGCTAGTGGCTCTCTAGCCTGGCCTCATCCATGTGCCAGGAATCTGTACCCAGATGCTCTTTACAGAGTCCTCATCCCTCCTGCCCTCCCCTCTTTTCTAGGGATTCCAGCATGTGGTACCCATCTCCACCTGTCACTGGGCTGCAGTCTTGGGGCTTTCTCCCTCCTTTCTTCTCCCCACCTCTAGTCCTCACAGGTCTTGTCTGGGAGACCTCCTGAATTGTGTCCACTTGTCTCCTCTTCTTCCTTTCCTGGTCCAGGCCACAGATCTCTCTAATGAGGATTGCACAACTGCCTTGTAGAAACAGGGCACACCTTGATTTACCTCCTTCCACCCCTGCTAACCTCTCCTATGCCCATTAGCTAGACTGATCTTCTAAAAAGGTTCTTTGGCTGACATTCCTGTGCTCAAAAGCCTTCTGTGGCTCCCCAAGGCCCTGACGGGAATAGGTACCTGATGTACTCCACCCCCATCACATGCCCAGCTCTTATCACCCCGTCTATGCTGGTCCAGGTGCCGCTTCATCAGGGAACGAGACCGTGCTGCCAATGACTACCCCAGCCTCTACTATCCTGAGATGTATATCCTCAAAGGCGGCTACAAGGAGTTCTTCCCACAGCACCCGGTACTGTGGTGGGGGAGGCCACAGTCTGAGCCCTTGGAGAAGGGAGGGCTGGGTCCTTCCATAGGTACTCATTCCCCTGTATTGATGGGTCCCTCCCATCCTTCCCTAGAACTTCTGTGAACCCCAGGACTACCGGCCTATGAACCATGAGGCCTTCAAGGAGGAGCTGAGGACATTCCGCCTCAAGACACGCAGCTGGGTTGGGGAGCGGAGCCGGCGGGAGCTCTGTAGCCGGCTGCAGGACCGATGAGGGGCCTTGTCAGTCCTGCCACCTCCCTTGCCTTGTGAGGCCTGGCACCAGCTGCCCTGTGGACCTGCAGGGCCGATGGCCTGCTGGAAGCCCCAGGTGCTATTCCGGGGAGAGATGGCGTGAGTGTCCCGCCAGTCTACCCCAGCCCCAATTCCCCTGTCTCACTCCAGTCATATTCTGTATACTCGTGACACCCACCCTCACCCTGGAAGAGTCCAGCCTGTTAAGTTGGGTTAATACCAACTTAAAGGCAGTATTTTTTTGTCCAGTAGAAGTCCTTTTGCTTCCTTGTTTGGGTTAACCCTTTGTCTCCCTATGCCAAGAAGAGCCCCTTGGCTCTTGTCAGCTGAGGCTGGGGAAGAGCCACCACCCCGAGGATGGTTCAAAGCTGAACTCCTCACTGGCCTGGGAGTCAGCACCTGCCCTGGGTTCTCACCTAGCCAGCGCTGTCCCCTACCCTCTGCAGGAGTCATGGGTGTGTCTGCCATGCTGTTCTTTTCTCTCTTCTTCTTTCCTATCCCTCCATATACGCACCACTGGCATAAACGTAAGCTCTTACTCTTTCCTGTTTCAGTGTTACTTTCGTGCTTGATTTGTTTGTTTGACTTTTTGCCCATCTCAGGATACTTGAGTAGGCTGTTTAGGCTCTACCTGTCAAACATTGATTACTCACCTGGTCCCAGTTTTGTTGCCCCAGAACAGGATATTATTATCCTTGGGGACTCTCAGAGAACCTGCTGGAAGCCCAGCCCTTACTGCTGTGAACCCTGGGGCCTGACTGGTCAGAACTTGCTGCTGTCTTGTCACAGATGGATGGAAGGATGGATGGATGGATGGGTGGCCATGGATGCACAGTGCCTTGCACACACAAATTTGGTACAAGCATTTTGGTGAGCATGACAGGTTGTGGCAGGAATGTACATGTATCTGTCTGTGTGGACAAAAATCTTTACACTTAGGGTCTGGAAATAATTCAAGAGGAAATACAGAAGCAGCTTAATTAAGAACTGAGCAGCCTCTGGATTCTGAATATGAAGATGGGGGAAGGGCTGTGCTTGAGGGCCCTGATGAATCATCTGTTCAAGCCTTGGTTCAATAAAGCACTAAGCAAGTTGAGTAACCAGTGTCATGTACTATGGGGCCCTTGTCAAGACCACAGCTGTCTCTGATGGTGTGGGGAGAAGGTCAGAGGAGGCTGGGAGACCCCCTGGAAAGGTGGTCTTGTGCTAACCCCCTTGCCCTGAAGTCTTCCATCTTCTGGATGACATTCCTGCCCTTCTTTCCCCTCATCTGGCTACCCAAGCACTCTGGGCACATCCTTCCTAAACTCTGCACTACAAGGCAAGGATGAACCCATCATTCAAAGACTGTCTATGGCTTCCCGTTGTCCTCAAGATAAGCCTGAAGGACTCCTGCCTTTTAGGATTTGGGTCCTCAGATTCATCCCTGCAAGAGTGAGAAAGGGCTGATCTGAGAGGACAGGTCCTGGGCCCAAACCCAGGTATCTCTGAGGAAATCCCTCCTGAATACTACTGCAGATGACCCCTCACCCCATACACATACACACAAATATGAACTGTGTGATAGTAGGGACTCTTTTGTCTCATATAATACACACACAGTGTATTTAGATGTGATTACCACTTTTTTTTCTTTTTGTAGTTTTTGTTTTGAGACAGTTTTACTTAGTTGTCCTGGGTTTGAGTGCTATGGCATCTAGGCTCACAGCAACCTCAAACTCTTGCTCAAGCAATCCTCTTGCCTCAGTCTCCCGAGTAGCTGGGACTAGCCTGCCACAACGCCCAACTATTTTTAGAGATGGGGTCTCACTCTTGCTCAGGCTGATCTCAAACTCCTGAGTTCAAGCAGTCTGCCCACCTCGGCCTCCCAAAGGGCTAGGATTACAGGCCTGAGCTACCACACACCTAGCCTGATTACCACTTTCTGTGAAAATTCATCTACCTTCTGGAGTAGGTCATGTAATGATTATCCACTCATTTTGCAGATGAGAAAATGGAGGCTATTTCCCATCAGAGTAGCAAAAAGAGACTCCAGATTCTCAGGCTAAGTCTAAAGAACACTTGTCTCCATCCTGTGCCCCCATGTTTCTTTGCCCAAAAGCTTGGTCTTCACTCCTGATCCAGAGCCCCCTCCAAGAGCACAATAGGTGAGGGTGATGGGGTATGGCTTTGGCTTGGGGATTGGGATCTGCCCAGGAGGGAGTGCCCCTGAAGGCTCCGAAGCCCCCTCCACTGAGGAGGCAGCTGGCATCCAGGTGAACATTTCTTTGGGTGAGGAGACTTGGTCCAGAAAAGGGAAAATAACTGTGCAGACCCCTGAGAAAGGGAGAAGCAGGAAAGAAGAGAGTTGAATAAGCCCTGGGCACCATTGTGCTGAAACCTGCCTGCTCTCTTAGGAGTGTTTAGGTGCTCTCTTTTTTTTTGCAGTTTTTGACTGGGGCCAGGTTTGAACCCACCACCTCTAGTATATGGGGCTGGCACCTTACTCCTTTGAGCCACAGGTGCTGCCTTTTTTTTTTTTTGAGACAAGAGTCTCACTTTGTCGCCTTCAGTAGAGTGTCATGGCTTTATAGCTTACAGCAACCTTAAACTCTTGGGCTCAAGCAATTCTCTTGCCTCAGCCTCCCGAGTAGCTGGGAGTTGTACCCGCTACAACGACTGGCTATTTTTTTTGTTGCAGTTGTCATTGTTCAGCAGGCCTGGGCTGGATTTGAACCCATCAGCCCCAGTGTATGTGGCCAGTGCCCTAACCACTGAGCTATGAGCGCCAAGTCCTTAGGTGCTCTCTTGAAGCCACCCTCTTCCTGGTTTTACAGAGGAAGGCAGCTGGAAGCTCAGAGAGGGTGCTCACTTGCCCACGGTCACACAGCACATAGAAGCAGAGCTGGCATTCCAGTCTGCAACCAAGGGGGTGGTGCTAAGCTGCCTTACTTCCCCATAAGTGTCCTCTACCCACTTCTGGATCAGGCCACGTGGGAAGAAAGCAGTGCGGGCTGAGTGTTCAAAATACCCAGGCTTTGGGCCAGCACTGACGTCTGTGGCCACATATGGCCCCATCATAACCCACCATCAGAGTCACAGCTGCAGTCATGGACACTTAGTATGCTCTGGTCACTTTTAGATAAATTGTCTCCTGAACCCACCAGATAGGGTTCCAACTTCTTTTGGAGGAGAGAAGCCCCTGGAACTGACATCTACCCTGGGAGGGGCAGGAGCCTCCATCTGGAAAAGGGGTTCCTGGGTTTGCCTCTCAGCTTCCAACTCAGGCCAGGAGTGCTTGTGCCCCTGGAGAGTTCAGGGGATCAGGCCAGAGGCACCCCAACTCCCTTCTTGTTAGCAAGAGAAGCTATAACTTTCTTCCTGGATGTACCAAAAAGGAAGTGGATCAGGCCAGAAGTCGGTTTAAAATCCTGGGCAAACAGCCAGTTTTAAAGGTTGTTTGGCTCTGGCCAGGGCGGGGCAGGAATTCCAGCCTGCAGGAGCCCCAGAGCAGCCACATGCTGCCAGTTCACATGGTGAAAAGCTGCCCAGGGATGTGTAGGAGCCCGAGGGCTAGCCAGCACCCTGAGGGCTAGCCAGCACCCCGAGGGCTAGGCAGCACCAGGTCCCACCAAATCAGTGAGACCGGCTGGGGTCTCTTCACCCACTTTGTTGCTTCAACTGTTCACCCACTAACTTTCACACTGACTATTTTTAAAAAATAATGTTTTCTTTTTAAATTGAAGAATAACCAACAGCTTCAATACAGAGTTCAGTCCTGAGGAGCCACCACACAACCATTTCAGGCATCGCAGGAGGCTCCCTCCCCCCCGCTCCCCGTTACCCCACTTGTCTGCTCATGAACTTTCTATAAGTGAAACTGGGGAGTTAGCACTCTTGTGTTTGGCTTCTTTCATTCGGTATAATGATTTTTTTTTTTTTTTTTAAGACAGACTGTCGGCTTGGCGCCTGTGGCTCAAGCGGCTAAGGCGCCAGCCACATACACCTAAGGTG